TTTTTTTTCTGTCCACAGACGCTAGTTACTGATGAGAGGCCGCCACCTTATGCTGCATATATGCAGACGAGCAATCCTCCACCTTGAGGTGTTTCGCTTGATGTTACCCCGTGTGGACTGGTTGATATTTGAGTCTATGCGGTGATGGGGCATAATTTATTTTGAAAGTTTCTGTAAATAGCCGACCAAGCATTTAGTGTAGCCTTGTAAAGGACCATTTCATCTGTACTCGACAAATGGGTTGTCTGGAATTGTCGCTTTTGTATATAAAAATAATTTTCATCTTGGTTACCAAGTTGAAAAAGAATTATTATTTTAAGTTTTTTCTTAATAATCGGGCTGTGGTCATAACCGAGATATATTTATCGAGAAACAGGACCTTTGTAAGTTCTTTAGCTTATCTTCCAAGCTCACTTCTTCGTGTGAAAACAGTAAGATTTGAGCAATGAAAATTGTGGCAAAGTGCACGGAATGTTGGTGATCAAGCCAGTCTGGTCGACCAAGCTCAGTTGTAAAGACCCAGTCCTTCAAGTGCCCCCCCCTCCCTCATGGGGTTAGCAGACACTTAATACTGAAACGTTGTAACCCAATGTTTTTTAGTTTGACCGCAACTCCTAATGGTTACTACATTTCAATCAGCTCTGCTAGCAGTCGTTCATTGTTACGATTGTCCAACGCTGCCTGACCAACATAAGTGTCATTTTTTTTTAACACTGTGAATTGTTGTTTCCTAGCGTCAATATCCATGTAACCCGTCCCATTCATTTCATTTGTGAGTAGAGTGCAAAAGCGGGGCGAGTGACAGAAAAAAAAGGGGGGGGGGGGGGGAGGGAAGGAGAGAATGAGAATCCTGCCAATTTTCTCTCGACCAAAAATTTATTTGTCTCCACTAACAGGAGAGCCTGGCAGAGGCCAGTATGTGTCAAGGACCCGAGAGGAATCTTTTATCGCCCTAAATATGCCTGTTGTTTTCGTTCGTAGTAAGAATCCTTAGCATATGGTCCGTGATTATTTTGAAGTTGTGTAAGAGTGTAGTAATTTCTATTTTAGTAATAGCACAAAGCTTGGTATTGAATATTAGGCGAGAAGAAATGATTAAATCTTCTTAGATGAAAAGGGAAGAGGAGAGGATTTCCTTTCTGAGCAGTCACAATCATGACAATTTATGCTGAAATGTAAAAGGCCTCGCAGATTTATTTATGCAAGAAGGGGGGTGGTATTTTACGGTCAAATTTTTGACTTTGAATTCTGTGATGTTACATGAAAACAAGGATACATCTAGATATACTTTATATTCAAGTGGTAATTTATTCTATTTATATCAATTTATTTTCTTTGCATGCTGGGGATTGTATAAAGACTAACTCCAGTTTGATAGTATCTTCTAAAATAGTACATCCTTTCGCTTATTTATTGACGATAGGTCCTACAAAGTTCGTACAATTTTTCTTAACGAAATATTTGCGAAGTTGAAGATTGGTGAGAGCCTGGTGCTTCTCTCTTGATATTAAATCGCTTTTTACTCGCGATACTTTAGCGTTCTTGTGTACATTATGAGGGATATACTTCTCACTTGTTCGCTCTCCCAACAGGGCGCTGTGCGAACAAGATCGAGAGTTCGCCGTAAAAAGTTTGATATTAGAATTTATTTTTTATTGAATTTCCCTCCAATATTTATTGTTATAACTTATTTTGTAGAGTGACACAGAGTGATCATTATTTATAGCATGCCCCATCAGTCTAATAAAGATTTCAATGCACGCAACACTGAATGTTGTGATATTTATTTCTGACGTAGAATTAAGATGACATGAAGATTGTCGATTACCCAATACAACGGTACAGTTTTTGTTTCTATGCCGACCTGCATCTTCGCTGCTTTTATTGCCAGTGTCAAGCAACTATTAAATTACGTCCTATTGATTTAAATTAGAGTTTGGAAGGTAATACGGAATTATATCGGTTTTGTTATACTGCTTTCTGTGATTGGTCAACAAACCTACGCCATCCAATCAGAAGAAAAAGCCCGAAATCAATCGCGAAATGGTTATTCGCGTTTTCCCGCCCTTTGAAGCTTCTTCATGTCTTTACTTTGGGTTCTGATTGGTTCCTTTCGGATGTTGTTCTCTGCTCCGATTGGCCCATGTGATTTCTTTAGTTCTGGATTTTAAAAGTTTTTCCGAGCCTCGAACACTGCTTAAGGATATACTGACGAAGAAGCTGAGTGAAAAAACTCTCACGTGGATAAGTAGTACTCAAGTTTTTACTTTCTGAAAAGAATGAAAATATTCCGCCTCCTTCGTTTCACAAAAACTGAAAAGTACTGCGAATGAACACCTACAAGTGCCGCTAATGTCAGGATTTTACGATAAAGGCACATGTCTAGATTTTTGTTTATTGCCCTAACCTCGTATCGTGAATTTGTCTC